GCAGCCAAACAAACTCACATTGTTTTAATAAAAAAGGTCATCATGCCATGAGCAACCGTACGCAGCGGCCGTATATTACCACACAACAGCACAGCGGTTACCTTGCTGAGGTGTTGGAGGTGTGCAGCCTGACATCTCACTGTGGCTGCTCTTGAATGTTCCAAAACTAAGAACAGTAATGCTGGATTACATGCTGCATCATTTCCTGTGAATCCCTTGTGCATGTAAGAATGGCAGACCCCGCTACTAACCATGAAAACTACTATATTGAGATGTATTTACAGAACGTAGTGGCAACCATAAACTGTATTAAAAATGGGGTTAGGATTCTTGAAAATCGGGAAGGATTATAACTATTAAACGTATTTAACCAATACAGTAAGCTCGACAACAGCCTTCAAATTGGTGTAAACATTAGATCCCTTAGGAGGTCCCAAGATTTTGAGTTTCTTTCTAAACTGGTTTTAAAACTGAATGTTTCTTTGTGTGCAGTGTCGAGATGTAAGAACCAGAGAAGTGGGCATTCAGGAGATCCACCACAAAGTCAGACCATACCAGGTAATGGACAGCAGTTTAAGACACTGATTATTTAAAAATAATTAAATCAATTTAGCGTTTTTTTTTTTTTTAATACAACCAAACCAAAAACAATAACAAAAACGGCTGTGTGCTCAGGTGGAGCTGGTGCGGAGGGACTACGTGGCTAACGGCGGCTGGGAGACCTTCCTCTCCTACGAGGACCCAGAGCAGGACATCCTAATTGGCCTGTTGCGTCTGCGTCGCTGCTCCCCGCAGTCCTTCCGTCCGGAGCTGAAAGGAGGCACGTCCATCATCCGCGAGCTGCACGTTTACGGCAGCGTTGTACCCGTCAGCAGCCGAGACCCCAGCAAATTCCAGCATCAGGTGGTCATGCTTTCTCACACACATACAGCTTGATTCCTTTACCAGCTGTGAATCAGACACTGTAAGACATCAGTCCTGGCCTGTACTTTCTTTGGCCTATATGACATTAGAAAAGTGTAACACTGAGATTAATAAGTCAAAATAAGGGAAGGTAGCTAAAAGTGCTTTGAGAAAATGACTTTTCATACTAACTCTGTTTATGTGTTCCTTTCCCTCCTCCTTGTTCAGGGTTTTGGTATGATGCTGATGGAGGAGGCCGAGAGAATTGCCAGAGATGAACACGGCTCTAGTAAACTGGCTGTTATCTCAGGTGAGAAACTAAACAGCATCATTTATCCACTCCTTGGACATCCAAATACAAACTATACAAAGCCATATCATGACTGTATTAGGTCAGTAGAAACACAGCAATGTCATCGGGAAGTAAACATACTGCAAGTTTAAACATTTTTAATAGGGTTTGTGAATTTTAAGTATTAATAAATGTAACGTAAGCATTCTACCAACGTGAACAGAATATTTGAGGTTTATTTTCAACAATGTTGTGTTCTAAAGTCACTTAAAGAGCCTGTCCAACAGTGGGGTTCTTTATTAAATACACTCTCAGCCAGTCACATTACTGGTCTCATCGCTGTGAAACAGCTGAGCCAATCACAGTGGCACATGACAACTACAGTTCAACGAATCAAGAGAGCTTCTTCAGCAAATCATATTGTTGTCTGGATGGTGCAGAGTAACACAAATCTGCAGCTAGAGGTAGATTTGTTTTGATTTTAAACAGTTAATTAGTACAATGATGATAGAAGCAAGTAATAAAAAAAATAGTTTGGTCAAGCAGTTTAGATATCAGATATCATTGCCTAAATATACGCTATTTCAGTCATAATTATACTGTATCTCACATTTTAAATGGTCACATCATATCATATATAACGCCATTGTGCCATTTGTGTGTTCAATATCATCGTAGTTGCAGGTGAAAGGAAGTCACCACAAGGATCATTAGCAACAGTTTTACAGTTGTCTTCTCTGGTGTGTTTTGCAGGTGTAGGAACCAGGAACTACTACAGGAAGATGGGTTACGAGTTGGAGGGACCTTATATGGTGAAGAACCTATATGGACCCGGAATGGACTGAACCTGGACGATGTTTTTATCTGGATACAGACGCACTTACACACGCACACATTCTTTTATTTATCAAGACAATGTTCTCTGGACGCAGTTTCCGCAGCGTGTGTTGTGAAACAGTTTGCTTTTTATCTGGTGCACACCAGGCAATGCTGTTGCATCTCCTCCGCTTTGTGTAGATAAGGAGACTGTGAGAGGGTGTGAGGAATAAAGTAAAGATATTTGGAATGAAGCCAGAGCGTCTTGTGGATGAGGTTTTGGGTTGAATTTGAGATACAAAGAAAGGTTTAGTCCGCTCCTTTCCCTATACAGGTACTGAAACACACACACATGTTGGTATTTTGGTTAGCACCAGTGCCTTGCCAGTGAACTCTGTTTCAGTGAGCAGTTCTGATCCAGTCTGACCAGAACAATCCTGCTGAGACAGTTTTAATCTTACTCAAGTGTTACATGAGTCTGGTAAAGAATGTCTAGATATCCTTTTAGATCATTTGCGCGTGTTTGCGTCTGGGGTGAGAAGAAACCTGTTTAGCATCACGGTTCGAGTTAATCATGTTTATGTTGTAATTAAACAGAAAACCCATTACGAGTCAAGCGTTCATTAATGGTTGCCAGTGGATGAATGAACAGTGGGAGCTGTCCTTGCTGGGCAGCCGTTGTGTAATTGCTGAATTTTGATTTATAGGGCAGGAAATTGAATATTAGTGTTACATAAATTGCTTTTTAAAGCCCCACAGTTAATCCTATTTCTTGTTTCTCTGTCATGCATTCTTGGTCTATGTATTCTGGTAAATTCCAGATGTTGAACACATCACTTGAGCATTTTTTCCCCCCCAAAGAATAAAGTATATTTGTGTTTTATGTCCCGCTTTGAGAGTTCTTGATGCTGCGGAAATCTTTGCAAGACATTTCAATAATTAAACCTAAATGACAGGATAGCCAAAAGGTTTTAGCCTCCAAAAGAAAGGTCACGTCGTATAGAGTGGCTCCTATAATGTATTCCCCAGTGTCAAGGGTGCCAGCCCTAGCAGGAGACCCCTGATGATTGCCCTATGAGAGTGTTTTACTGGCTCATTTGACACAGCCTTTCCAATTACATCTCCATCAGTTACCTGTCTATTGAACATTGACCGAATGCCGTGTTCAGCCACACTGTTACTGGAAAGGGTTTGTCATTTGAGAAATAGCTAGCAATAAAGCGCGAAAGGCTCATGCGGCGACCTATGTCTCATATAGATTCCAACTGCACAGGGCGATTGAAGCTGAACGGCCATGCGTAATTTCCTGGATGCGGCCCCTGAGTCGTGACTGCTGTGCTGTGTGTTGGTGTTGCAGTCCCTGACGCATTGAGGAATAGGCCACACTCAGGCTTTCTCTCCACGCTTGCTCACTCCTGCTATCAGTTGTGAAATCTGAGAGGACTTTTCCCTCCGCTCACACTCGCTGAGTCTGTGCCGAGCTGATTTGTGCTGTGGAGGAGGCAGAGTCTGGTCTAATCTTCACTGCGACATGAGCAGAAGTGTAGCAGGTTCAGTTAAACTCTACTGAAGTGAAGGTTGCAGGACCCGTCTACAACAATTACCTGAGTAAAAGAAGAGAAAAAGGATCTGGGTAGTGTCGATGCTGTATATTCCCCAAGTGTATGCATTACCTGATGTCAGTTCATTGTTGAAAATGATGGCTCAGTCCTGGTTTACACTCCTTAAGGGTACTACAGGGAGATTGTAACTGGTTATGAAACAGTCTCAATTCAATACTGATGCCTCTGTATGACCTACAGAAACAAACAAGACCACATACATAGTTCTACATAGTTATTCTCAATGCCTGCCACTGGGTTGGATTCCCCTTGAAATTAATGAAATGAGGTGGAAACACTACTGCCAGAATGAACACAAAATGGAAGTTCCTTGTAGGGGCAGTAGGTTTAAAAAGGCTGATACTGAAACTTTATTGTGGATGCCAGATATCCCCAGTAGTCGGCATTTTTATGTCAGATACACATACAGTAAAAATAAATGTTAATATTTGAGTTGCAAACTCAAAATATTGGTGTTACCACAAAATGATTCCTCTCAATATCCATGTTGATACTGGACAAAGTAATCCATCATAGCCAATGTGTTGTGTACATAAGTCAGCGTAGCAATGATTAAGTTCAAGGTATTTTCTTAAATTACATATTTTTAAGCTAAGCTAACAGCGTGGCTTAAGGGATGGCAATGTCCGTCAGTCTATCTCGACAACTGTTCACTTGATTGCCGTAACATTTTGTACACAGACATTAATGGTCCCCAGAGGATCAAGCCTACTGACTATGGTGACTTTTCATTTAGCACCATCATCATCAGGTCAAAATTTGCCAAATACCCAAAAAACTAATTCCATTATTATATATTATTCCATTAACTTG